TTATTATTGGTGTGATTAATATTCTCTGTTGAACCTTCTGTGAAACAAGATAGTTATAACATAATTAAAGTATCATTCAATGTAAAAGATAAGCACAATGTCGGAGTGTGTGCAGATTTATACATATGATAGGTAATAATATCCTATGCAGTTATGATACAACTCTAGCCGTTGTTCTTGAGTAATATAGTATTTAATATATTTTTTATGAAGTGCATATATGAAAATTTAATTTTTTATTATATAATAAATATTCAGATATACCTAGAAAATTATGAAAAATAATTCATATGTAATTGAAAATTTCAAAAGTACGTATTTGTTAGTTCATATTTCATTTCAAAATTTAATGTAAAGTTATGTGCGTTTCTAATTTGAAATTTTAGAACTGACCTGGTAATGTAATATAGTACCCCCTCGTATCTAAGACTTCAAAATGGCGACCTCCTTTATTAACAAGTTTGCGCATCTTGACGCTCATTCTCCCTACTCCATATCTCTGGTATATACCAGAGACAATAGATAACTAGTATATACCAAGCTCTGCATATATTTTACATTGAATGACCTTGTTCCCAAAAAGAGGGGATAAATAGTGTACATGTTACACTTTGTCAATTTTGCGCAAGCCCGAAAATTTAGCGGATTATTTCAAATGAAATTTAATAACTGATGTACTATTAACAGAGCAAAATTACCAATTATTATTTTGTATATCTAATTATACAACTTGTTAATTGTAATTTATGAGAACGTTATAGATAGTGAATGTAAAATAAAATGGGTACAATAAAACAGAATCCAAAAGGGAGTACAAGTGTGTTATTTAGGTATATAAAATAGTAAACATTTTTTGAAATTTAAAATCGATACATCTTCAAAAAAATTCATATAAAAATACACATTATGTACAAATATACATAAAAATAATAACGAGTTATCTACCTTAACTAACACATATAAATAATAATAAAAATAAATCATATAAATCATATTAACCTGTGTTTCGTGATTCACTGTACCAGATTCAATTTGATTTTCTAATATATGCTAAATATCATGTCTTATTTTATTAAATATACAATGCAAACCTAGTCAAGATCTTAGAACACATTGAAGCAGTGCCGGTTTTAGATATAAATTGTCCGCCTAGGTATTATTTTTCAAATAAAATAGCTGATCCAGTTTGTGATCCAAACACAAGTAGGTACATACATTAAGTGTCGTTTCTTTATTTGAACATGATCACATAAAAACCATGTTTGACCTTTCGCCGTATGTAGACGATGTGGTATCATATATAGTGGGCTTTGTAACTTCACAGGTTATAAAAATAATTTCTTGTGACATTTACAAAAAATATATAAAGGGAAACTACTCGTCTCCTTTTAATATATAACAGTAAGAGTTCACCATGAAACACGAAGTCTCATGCATTAGCAAAATGTGGAATTTCTAGCTACTGATTGGACACGTAAAAATTTGCTTTAGCCAATTTCATCAATACATTACCCTTAATTAATAAAAATCCTCAATCAATAAAACCTTAAGTATCCATAGGGTGTAAAGATATACATTTTTACTTATAAACAAATTTTGTCTTCTTTTTTATTTTTTGCTAGATTCATCGCTTCATGCCAGTTTGTTCCTCTTTTCTTTAAGTCTTCTGCCACTACTTGGTCCTTGGTCCCATGTTTTTTATGGGTCTGCCTCGTTTCCTTTCCTTTTTTTTTGTTTGCCAAATCATTTTTAGCTGTCTCTATTCAAATTCATAACCTATCTTCGGAAATGATAATGACGTTAACCGACAAACCTACCAATGGGAAAATGAATTATAGCGCGTGCATATAATACACAAAGTGCAACACCCCCACTTTTTGGCTTCAATTCCCTTTCAAAATGCTTTGTATACAGGGTAGGAAAGTCCCCATGGTTCATCGGCTGTTATGTGAGAGCGATAAAGTAAGTCATAGAAATCCGTGCGATAGAGAAATATGGCTATAATGAAGGCGTCTAATAGTCACCGCCCATTTTGCCCTTCCACAAATAAGAAGTGGATCTTATTTCATTATATTATATTTTTCATTATAGCCATCTTTCTCTATCGCACGGATTTCTATGACTTTCTTTATCGCTCTCACGTAACGGCCGATGAACCATGAGGACTTTCCGACCCTGTACATATGTATAGAAGTATGTGTACTGACGTCACATACGCCAAATAAATAGGCAACAGGCAACCCCATAGTGCACTAGTGCAGACTTTTTGATACAAAACTTTCCGTTTATACTGATTTAAGGAGGATTTATTAAAATTTAACAGAAATATTTATTATGAATCCAAAAATAAAAAGAATATTGGTGGCTCGAATTTTAAACTTTTAAGCACGAAGCTTTGATACTTCACAGACAGTAGAAAAATAAATGTAGGGCACTCGTTTCTTTCTGCGGAAAAACTGTATTGAAGGTTGAAGACCATCTTTAATGTTCATACCCAAAACACATTTTTATATATATCTTGTCCTCTATTGGCCCTATCAAACTTTTTTTGATTAAGCAAAATGAAAACGGCCTCTACTCAATATGACGAGTCACAGTCGACTGAATATTAGATTGCATCCCCCGGTTAAAATTGTTAAAATTATACTTTATTTATTTTCGTAAATTTTCACTAAAATTACAGACTACAGACAAGATTGCTCATGAATCATTCGTTCTGCTCAATAGAAATAATTTCCATTTTTTTTTCGTTCCAAAATATTGATTAGAACCCGAAATACTGTTTTTGAGGGATGAACATCAGGGGTAGTTTGCCTGTTTAAATTCGTTTTAGACCAATATAAAAAATTATTTGTTAAATATCTGTTTTTTTTATAAGAAGTAATTTCCATTTCGTTTCATTCCAAAATATTGATTAGAATCCGAGATGTCACAGAAATACTTTTTTTGAGGGTGAACATGAGGGGTAGTTTGCATCCGTTTGAGGCTAATAGAACAAATTATTCGTATGATTAGAGAAAAAGTAAAAACTTTTTATTTTGTAATGTTAATACTAATCGTATAGACATTTTTCGCTCACTAAAAAGAGAACTTAATTTTGTCAATTTGTTTACATGTTATATTTTTAATTTTTTTTTACAAATATGAATTTTTTATATATAAAAAATGTGAAAAATGTTTTTTTTTAAATAAAAAATAAGGTTAGCAACCCCCCCAAACACGAAACATCTGTTTTTTTACAAGAAGTAATTTTGCATGTTATTTTATTCCAAAATATTGATAAGAACCCCAGATGTTTAGAAAAAACTGTTTTTAGGGGCGAACTTTGAGAATGTATTTCACCAACATATTTAATAATAATAATGCAGAATTATTATAAATACCCGATTCAATAGACAAAAACACACAACTAAAACAGTTCTTTTAGGTTATGAAAAATGAAACAAATACAACGTAGAGCACAAACCTGTAAATAACAGGTACCTACGTAGGAACAATGCCTGACAATGTGGTATTCGGATTAAAGAGGTTGCACTGTATTTGATTACAGAAATTTGCTACAACACACTCAATACTTACTTCCCATTTGGCTCCTGATAATGAGAAAGTAAGCAAAAACCATTTCAGCGCTCCTTTTTACTGATATGAAATGTTACCAAGACGTTCGCGGTGTCCATTTTGAACATCTACATCGACATTAATATTTTTTTTTTGCTTTTTTACATTATCAATAAATAAATTACTTACTAATTTGTTAATGTGTTGTAGCGAATTTCAGTAATCAAATAATTTTTTTTTAATGTTAATTTTTGCAATAAATCTAAGAACAATTAATATTTCCAAAACAGTTGAAGATAGGTATAGGACATTGTATATGAAATGTCTAGAATTTTCTGAATCCAAAAAATTAAATATACAGGGTGTTGCATTTAAAATATGAAAGTTGATATTGACCACTGTTACATGACACCTTCTATAAGAGAGTCCGAGAGTTTTTCGAACACTCCCCCACTTATTTATTATTGAATTTATTCCATTTGGCTGATACACACTGTGTAGTAATTTTTATTTCCCCAATTAAAAATGTTTTTTAGAAATTTTTTTACAAACTTGCGCACAATAAATGAGTTTTTAAGAAAACAATAATTATTTTTCATTCCAGTTTTGTCTTATTTTAGCGATAACAATAATGGAAATACAAATAGGTGCAAATAGAAAAACACATTATTGTATTTAATTTTAATCATACTTGTTTACAATAATTCTCATACAAATACGACCTACAAAAATGAACTCTATTACAATCAATATAATTGTATCATAGAAAAGTTAATTAACTATAGTTATCAGATTGTTTTAACTACTAATGTAAATGTACTTTTCCAAAAACTGAAATAAATAGAAACAAAAATGAAAAGTGCGTAACTAGCCATAGTGCAGTTTTCCTACAATTAACAATTCAATAATAATTAGAAATAACAGAAAAACTCAGTCGAAAGTATTTTGATTTACATAGTAGGTAATCAACCGAAAATAACCATTTTTTTAATGAATACATCACAAATGTACTACAGCTTTGTTCAGGCAAGTAATTAAAATGTAAAACTGCCTGAACACCCGGTCAATTTTAAGATTAATTGTCAAATATAAAGTTCAGCATATATTTTAGCGACAACATAAATTTAAGCCTGCCAGAACAAACCTATTACTTCATTAACTAATATATATATATCTCTTACTAAAGTAGAGTTAATAGATAAATTAAATTTTCTCAAGAAAACCTGGAAGTTTCGAAAAATAATACTTGAAAAGGTTTAAAAAAACAAATTCATACTAAAATGGAAATAGATATATTTAAACAGATATCAACAAAAAAAAAGTGCTTTCAAAAACACAGAAACCCACCGAGGCAAGCAATGCCTAAAAATATAAATGTATTATTTATAATTGGTTTCTCCGTTTCTAAAAACTTGAGACGAATCGTAAGCAGTTTATAAATAATCAAAATTTTGCTAAGGGAAGTTAAAATTAGGCTAGTGGGTATTGGTGTTTTATTACATTATTTTTTTTTAACAAATCTATTAGAAAATAAATGAATACAAAACAAATTAAAATAACTATACATACAGACGGATATTACTATAATATAAATTGTAGCAATGGGCGCCACTGTACAAAATAAAAGATGATGTGAGAAATGACCATATTACCTGAAACAAGAGATTATATGCCGACTATATTTTAACTTAAGGTATTAAGCCAATTCAAATAAATTCAAAATGATCTCTAATAGTATACTTAGTCTTTCCGATATCAATTAAAGAACCAAGAGGATGACAGTATGTACCCTCTCTCCCCCCTGGAGGTCTATTCTTGAATTTCAGGGAGTAGAACTTGTGAGGGAAGTGGGCGAGGTTCTCTTAAAAATACACAACAGAGTATTCTTGAAAAAATATTTAGGGAGGGAGCTACTCCCAAGAGAACTTAAAGTTCTTCTACTAGAGACTGAGGGAAATAGCAAATCTAACCTAAAATTGTCTGTTTATGTTTATTTTTGAAGAACCTAAAATGTCAAGTGAGTTGAACATTTTAATTACATAAATCTAAAATAAACATGGAAAACTTAAATTTAATGCTGTGGAATGACATTATTAACGAGGATGTTGAGGAAGCAGTGGCAGAATTGGCTATTAGAAGAGATGTTTTGCCCCAGACAAATGCATTTCAAGTATATGATAGAAAATTTTTGCAGTTATTCAGAGTGGATAAGGACCTCTGTCATGACATAATTAATATGGTCAACCCTTTCTTAGCCCAACCAACAAGAATGTAATAAGGTTGCCTCAAAATATTCTTTTCGATTTCGATCTCCACAAATTTAAATTAAATTGTCAAAATAAAAGTGAAGTTTATCTGCGTTCTGTGTTCTGTCAGTTTTCTGCAATTTCATTAGTCGAACAAACCGGCAACGCTGTTCCCCGATTTTGCTCCCTCTCTGATACACCTCGGTGCGTTCAAGGTTTCAAGAATTCGGTGTTTTTCTGTCGGGGATCTCAAATGAGGGGACGCTCCTCGGGAGCTTCCAGGGACAGCTCCCTTCTCTTGCTTTCAAGAATAGACGTCCTGGTGATACGTGGTGAGGTCACGTGTATTTTTTTTGTTAAAAAATTCAATATATTCAGAATATTTTTTTATAAAAATCAATAAAAAAAACAGCAAAATAACAGCGGCGGCTGTCAGCCAGCGCGGGCGGGGCGACGGACGATTTTAAGCCGAATCCACATTAAGGTGATTTTCCACTAAACGGACAAAACAAAAACAAAACACAAACTTGTGTCGAATAAAACAAAACTATATCTTTTCTCAAACTTTTTGAAGACTGGCGTGTTTTGCGACAGTTGGAGTTTTGTTTTTCAGGTCCCACTCGAAAGCGGTCACATCAAAAGGTTTGGACGTGTTTTGCAAACTCGTCTGTTTAGTGGAAACGGTCGTATTGTGTTTTCTATTTAAGTGATCCAACCCAATATCTATGTAGCATTTTCTTCTTCCCAAAAACAATATTTTAATCATTAATGAATTATAGCTATTAAAAAATATATTTGTGTACAGTAGTTAAGGTGTTTACTTGGCCAGTATACAAACTAACTAACTAACCAAGTAAACACTTTAATCATACTTTACCGTATTTTTTTCCAAGGACTTCAGTATAAACCAGCCATAACTAAGAATAAAAAAATCTTCTCTAAACATGTTGGTTGGTTATTGGAAAAATGTGTTCTAACTTACTCGCGACAACCAGTGGAAAAGGAACGAAAACAAAAACAAAACTCGAACAAAATGTAGCCCGCTTGATGGAAACAACAGTTTTGGGTTTTTCAGTTTTGTTTTTGTTTTTCAGGTTCTAGAAAACACAAACAGGACATAAACTCAACTGTCCGTTTAGTGGAAAACCGCCATTAAACCGACAAAACAAAAACAGAAAACAAAACAACTTTTTAAAAACTTTTAGGCAACAAAACAGTTTCGAAACAAAGTCTACACCGCAGACCATTTATTCAAACAGTAACAAACATTTTATGTTTCAGTTTGGACATTGCAGTCCTTACTAGAAGCATGTTTCGTTACCGTTTTCGTAATGCTGAAGAAGACAAAGATTTCATTCTAATGGCTGGTTATTATTATATTTTGTTAAATTTGAAGCGGAAAAGAAGACGTTTTTGGGTGAGACCCACTTTGTGAAGACTAACGAGTCACAGAATCGAAAATTTATTTACAGATATCCGTGAAGACGACATTGGTTTATCAGGCGAGATATGTTCTAGATTTACCAATTTTTTTCTTTTTTTTCCCATAACAATGGGGTTTCTCGATACATCTCTATTAATTTACAAGTGTTATCCACTGTCCACTTCGTTTTTTCTTACATCCTTTCACAGTAATTACATTCAACAAATGAGCACACGTGAATGATATTTTAAGTAAAATAATATTATTACAACATGGCATTTTGGAAACTTTTTGAAACAGAACAAAACGAAATTTACCATCAGTATAATAAAATTGTTTGAGGACATAAATTATTAAAATATGTTGAACATATAATAGAGATTTTCTGCACATTATATACAAATTATTATAATTTTTTACCTTCATCAGAAAACTTTTTTTAGGGACCCCTATGAAACTCTTAAATTTTATTGCCAGGCATTTTTTACATGTTCAACTGACTTCGGAAAGACTATAATCATAATTCAATAAAAAAAATTGAATTATGGTAGTTATGATTGAATACATTTAATTCAGTGATCCTCAAATAAAAATAATCAGATTCTTTCAAATTTGATCAAGTTGCAAGTCACAGAATGCAAGAAATCGGTGATATATATTTTTTTCAAACTGAAGTTGTAAGGAGATACTTTTCCTGAATATGACTTCGAATACTATGTCCATACACAAGTACTATTTTATTGAAACTGGATAAAGCATTTTAGAGTTATGTATTTGTAAAGAATTAAAATTGATTTAACGTTCTCTAGAGTATAAATGAGGCAACTCTGGAGAAGAGATAAGTTTAATTAAATCAACTTATTTTGACTTTGAGCACCTGTAGTGTACCAGGTGTACAAGAAATATTAGGACTCCCTGTATAAGAATACCATTCATTAATGTTAAAAAAAAATTTCAGAAATGTTTGCAGGTATAGTCATTCCGAAGTCAGTTGAATATGCAAAAAAAAACGTCTGGTAATAAAATTTAATGAGTTTCATAGGCATCCCTAAAAAATTTTCTGCTAAAGGTAAAAATTTATAATTTGTATATAATGTGTAAAAAATTTCTATTGTATGTTCATTTGGCCAACAACATATTTTAATTATTTATGTCCTCAAACAATTTTATTATATTGGTGGTAAATTTTGTTTTGTTCAATTTCAAAAGGTTTCCAAAATGCCATGTGATAATATTAGTAAACAAAATATCCCTCTTATTTCTCCCTTTCGCAATTGTAATATGAATGATTGATAGAAGGGTGCCTATAATAAATTAAAATTGCCTGATTCACACCAGATTCCGTACTGCAGCACTGCACTGCTGGGCAATTTATGAACCACTTGTCGCCTGCTGTGATTTATTGCCAGAAGCCCAATACAGTTGTGCTACATTTCGTTTGCCCACGCTCGCATTCTTCAACTGGTCGTATACATTTCTACCACCTGCACGTTTAGTTCGACCAGACCTATATATGGATATGGCTAAATAAATATGGGAACAAGTTTTTCAAATATTTCAATGCCGAGTTGCTGCTTAGCGACCGAGCCTGGTACATACTTTGAAATTATAGGTTCTTCAACTGACTTCGGAAAAACTATATCTGGTTAAGCATAAAATAAAAGTTGTTCATTACATACCAACAGATGCAGTTTTCAGCAACATCCTGATCTGGTAGTTTCCACTGGGCGACTTGCATCAAATTTGACTTTTCCACCCTGATCAGCAGCCGAAGATGGCGGCCCCACTCTATTTTTGATTTCAGCCGCCATTGTCATAAATGCCTGCTCTACATTTGTAGCATTTTTAGCCGATGTTTCAAGGAAAGGAATACCCAACTGATCCGCATATTCCTGAAAAACAATTCAATCATTCCCTGCTCACTACTCACTATTTATAAAAATTCAAAGATTTTACAAGAAATATGCACATAAAACTCCACATTTACAATTAGTTATTTATTTTTTTTACAATTTTTTGTAAAAATATTTATAAAAATTTATCTTCCAAAAGCTGTTATCAGTCATTTTGAATTTATATTTAAGGCTTTTAATTTCATAAACATATTTTTATTCGAAATTAATGAAAATGTAGAACTAATAATGAAATCGAAAACTGTTCTTTAATTACATACCTTGGCAGTGGTAAAATCAACAACTTTCTTTGTTGTTAGATCACTTTTATTTCCTACAAGTAGTTTGTTGACGTTATCACATGCGTAGCGATCGATTTCTTCTAGCCATTGTTTAACATTATTAAAGGACTCTTGGTCTGTGCAATCATAAACCACAATTATCCCATGTGCCCCCCTGTAATAACTAGATGTAATAGTCCTGAACCTTTCCTGTCCTGCAGTATCCCACTAAAATAAATAGTAAAATAGCTTCATCGACCAATTATAACAAAACAAACATTAAGAAAAAGCTTGAAACATTTTTATTTTCTGGTTCTGCTAGAAGTGTTTTTCTTTTTGCCGATTCTTACTTAAAGAATTAAATTTTGATCTATCTCGTGCATCACATGCCAAAATAGATACAAAAGCAAGCAATTAGGGTGGTAATATAAGTCAATATGTTTGTTATAAAAATTGCTACAAATTTATTTTAGTCTGTAAGTCATTCACAGTAATTCATTAAAAATATTCTTTTATACATTTATTTTAAAATTTATGTTTATGTAGAAAAATATTTATTTTCCATAGGTTATGATCTTAATTCTAATTTTTATTATAAAGTACTCACAATTTGCAATTTAATAGTTTTTCCATCTAGATCAATTGTCCGGATTTTCTGCAACGATAAAGACAATTAATAATATGTTATGAAATAGATATAGAATAGAAATGTATGTAATACTCACAAAATCTACACCAATAGTACTGATGTAGCTCTCTGTATAAGTATCATCCTATAAAAAAATAATAATAATAAAGATACATTAACTGCCATGCCGTGGAAGAAAACTATATAGGGTACAATATTCCAAAATTGAAATGAATAAATGAAACTTTATATTCACAAATGCTTCGTTTGTCAGCTAAAAGGTGATAAAGATTCATTATCTTAAATGTCTCCGAGTAAACAGATTATTTAGTACCAATGGTCTTATTCGCTGAATTACATTTGATAGCAACAGATCACAAAAACATTAAGACCATTGCTACACTTTAATAATCACTTCCAGGTATACAATCAGTGGTGACTGATATTTTGATAATAAAATGATCATATTTCGATAATAAAATGTAACCTATTTTTGAGATAATTTCTAAGCCTACAAAGAAAACTTTCATAGTCAAAAAATTTCGAATAACTAACTGTATAATTTAATTACATCGACATACGCAAAAAAAGCTCTAGTACGAAGATGTAGACTCCGGTAGTGCTACACATTTTGATGCCAATAATCCATACAATGCACTTTTAGCCAAAGTTTGGCTCCTAAAATTTCGGATTCGCCATTTTAATTAATAGAATACAGGCACACAAAAAAGTCCAAACCCAAAGATATTTTAGAAACAAAGATTAACCATAATCTCGTTAGTCTGAGCAAAGTGAAGACTGCCCTAAATATAGATTTTACACGATATTGTCCTGCTGTGCATAAATTCTGACTGGTATCGTTTTCGCCTCATCAAAATACATCGGAAATGATATGTCAGATCTTTGGATTTAGACCTTTTTGTGTGCATGATATTCTATTATTTAAAACGGCCAACCCCAAATATTAGAAGCAAACTTTGATAAAAATTATTGGCATCAGAATGAGTAGACTATGGGAGACTACATCATTGCTCTCGAGTTTTTTTTGTGTGCCAGTGTTATCAATTTTACAATATTAAAAAAAATAATGATAGTAATATAATAATTTGATAGAAAAATAATAAAAGGAGTCCGTCTCTTTTGGTTTTTCACAAAAAAATAATTTTAAATATTTTTTAAAGTATAAATATAATAATAAATGATGAACAGTTAAATACAGAAAAAATTCACAAAATCATAAAGTACATGGATAAAACAGAATTTTGTCTTTCTGAAAAAAAAGTGATGTCGCTATAGTATATAAAAAAATATAATAAATATCTATAAATGGAGGGGATAGAAACTTATCATCCCATAAATAATTTCAAACAGTGATTTGTACATTGCCCCCTCTGTCCTTAAAAATATGTTGAATGTGCCAAATTTGAGTGAAATATCTAAAAAAACGTAAAACACCTAACAGAACAAAAAAAATCTTCATCAACCTGTGCCTCAAAAACAATGTTTTGCGAACTTAGGTTCATTTTTACTTACTCTTCATTAGATGCAAAATTTTGTTGCTGGAATATTGCAACACTCTATATTTGGCTATTTATATCTTAAAGAAACTGGCCAGAATATTCTTACTTATGCGGATAATTTGACTATTGACTATAAATGATTATGTATATGATTAAAACTAAATACTGCTATACTTAATCTTTGTCTAATTGTTTAATTTTTCACAGTACTCTTCGCTGTTTTATTACATTTATTTATGTCATAACTTTCATAGATATTTAATAGTAAAAATATTCAAGCTTTCAAATAACATCACTTACTGCAAATCTTAGTAATAAACATGATTTTCCTACTCCTGAGTCGCCAATAAGTAGTAGTTTAAATAAGTAATCACTAGAAAACACAATATAATTTTATTAGAATTAAATACAGTGTTAAACAGAAATGTATTAGAATACAAAAGATAAATAATTAAATATCACTGTTATTAAAGTGTGAAAATATCATTTCATTATGAGAAATCAAAAGATTTACAAAGACCTTTTCTGATAGAAAATCACATTGTATTTTATGCATGTTCTCATTGAATTTGATACACAAATGAGGAATCTTAATAATAATTAGTAAGGGGGGGTTTTCTGAAACAATCTAGAAGATCAGTTGAATCACAAAAAAGTGTTTTTGTATTTTAAGGAAATGAAGATTCTGATTTCTGACAATTATTAAATGGATAACTGAAGCACTTGAGGTCTAGGAATAAAATTTAAAATTTGACACGTTGAAATCATATTAACAATGTTCTTCAAACTTTTTTAAAACAAATTAGTTCACTTTACTTCCTCCGATTGGACTAACACAATCACAGTTTCTGAAAAGTCCTGTATATAATAATACTATTAATTTGAAGTCAGTTTTTTTATCTCTGTTAAATCAAAAGTAAATATAAAAATAATTGGACGTTTTTGTTTCTTCGGCAGTTTATATTAAAGTAATAATGGATAAAAACTTACAAACTTACAAAACTTACAAAACAATTTAATAATAATTTTTTTGAATAAGGTTTTACCAATAAAACCAAATTCTCTAAATTATATGTATAGTAAATGCCCCTAGTAGCACAAGTAAACATACAATATTTTCATCTGTTACTAAAAATAAGGTAGATGTTTACGAGACATACTTTCAATCATAACATTAGTAAAAGAAAAAATTTATAGGTAAACATCCCCAACCAACTTCACATCAATTTTGCATTGTGCAATAATAAAAGAATAGATACATTCCGAGTTTCATATTTTGCTAAAATTTTCATCTGCAGCTTATTTTCTCTATTTTTTGTATATGTTCCCTTTCAAAATCTATAAATAAATATAGTTTATAACCTACAGAGATTGTAGAATAGTACATTGTGTAACGAGTAACATTTTCCGAACGAGTTGCACATACTATTTTCTATCACAAGTGCGAGTCGTTATGGGACCTATAGCATAGGGGGTTACGTGCACGGAAAGTGCTAGATAGTACAACAGCGTGATGTTATTTTCATAGCGCAATGCTGGAGTGTTGCGCTATGAAAATAACATCACGCTGTTGTGCTATCTAGCACTTTCCGTGCATCTAACCCCCTAGACTATAAGTCCCATAGCGAGCGCCCGTGATAGAAATAATTTAATCCTGATGAATACTGATTTCTTTACACACGTTCTGAATAAGACAAGATTTATTAACTGCTTATTTTTCCAAATTACGTGAAGATGGAAATGCTCTGTATCATAATTTTAATGAAACCATTTATTTGTATTGTTTAACCTGACATTATGAAAACTGCAATTTTATAAACAAAACATATTGGTGCAGTAACTTGATAAGCAAGACAAGCAAATTTGAATAAATTCATTAACCTTGATAGTACACAACTAAATATTTAAACAATTTTTTGTATAAATTATGATTAATAATTATGTATTACCAACTTTTTAATGTTCCATCTTGCTATTTGCTTCTATTTCTTTTGTTCTAAAAATACCTGTGCCATCCTCACAAGACAAATTTTATAAAACAACTACATGCCTAAATTAATGATCTGTAAGTTTGTTTATACACTTTAACAATAGTGATACTTTCACATTATAAGGAAATAAATTCATAGCATGAAAAAACTGTAAATGTAAGCAAAAGTAGGTATTCAAATAAAGGAAAGCTTGTGATTTGAGTAATAATTTGGTTTAATAAAGCACAATTATAAATTTTATACATTATATTGTCTTTTTACATATAAATATCGATTAATTTAGAATATTTGAGGGAGGTACATGATTAGTAGTATTTTTCCATATTTCTGACCGTTTCCTAGAAACAGCAGATATAACTTATTTGCATGTCTGGAATGGTCTTTGCCCATCAAGTGACAATTAAAAACTTAACTACTCCGTAAAACTGATTATTGAAGGTTGAAATCGTAATGATTATAAAAATTTACTCTAAAAAAAGTTGACTCATGTTAATGTGACGTGCCACTTGCACTTGCAATCTCGTAGTAAATAGTGGGTGGAAACTTTATGCCTTCACACATTATTTTACCTCTGAAATTGTTTTCAGATCTCCAAAAAGAAATAAAATTATAAAATATATTTTATTCCCAAGAACTGCGCAATTTACGTCAAAAATCTGACCATTATTGTCAAAATGGTTTAATGAAAAAGATAAATAAATCGATACTTACTATTCAGGATTCATTTTCTAGATATATATCTTGTGTTTGAAATTTTCAAATGAATTTACTTGTCTGTTTTTCACTTTTAGTACACTACACTAGTAGTTTAATTTGAGAATTATTGTATACAAATACGCAAATTTGGGACAACGTCTACTTCAACTGCTACAACTTTGTTCATTGACGTAATGGCATGCCAAAGTGGCAGCGCAATCGTCGTTGTTGATGTCACTTCATAAAGCGGGAAATTTCAAATTTACCTAAGATTTTATTTTCTAATTCACTTGTTTTCTTTTTTGAAATTAATATTGAAAACAACACTGTTTACCGGTTATTGTCTTACGGTTTCAAAATTTAAATAAAATGTGTACCTGATTACACAACAATCTTCGTAAGTGAGGTAAAATTAGAGTAAAAATAAAAATTCGATTCTATTTATTAAGTCCAGAATATGGAATATTTTGTCATTACCAGTGGCAGAACCTCTAGACAGCAAAAGGGGGCAGTAAAGGATTAAGGATTACTAGGTGGCCTGAAACCTCTTTCAAACTACATTCGACATAAGAGAGATAATTTAACATTTGATAAGTGTATTATGTAAAAATAAACTAATTATTTTTCAGGGACAACAAGTGCAGATGTTATGAATTGGAACATGAAAAATTTTTTCGCTGGCGCCAACTAAACGCAAAAGTGCTTTATGGTTTTCGAAATTTGTATTTTTTATGTATTTTATATTAAGAATGGCAAATCATAGACCTGAAAATACTAGATACTAAAAATGGTAATTGGACCAAACAAATATATTGACGATTTATTAAGATATGTAGAAAACATGAATTTTATTTTCCCGAAGATTTAAGTTTTTGTAGTAGAGGTATCAACGAAATAGCTTTTTTCCCTATATAATTATAAAAACCAGTGGTAATTTCAAAAGATAATTTTCTATATAAATAAATAGGGACTCTTGTTTAATTTGGAAACTTGTCTGTTTTCCAGATATTTATTGTTCTTAAATGTTTCAAGGTTTTCTATTAGAACCAGGTTTTCCAGCTGCCATTTAACTAAATTTGCCAATTGACAAATTTATCAACAGGTGGAAAAATCGGCCTTATCTATTATTTTCTAATTCTTAAAATAGAACGCGTACGCGTAGAACACGTAGAGTGATGATCGAGATGAAACTTGAGCTGATAAAGGTAACAACGTTATAACTCATGATACAACCCATGGAGACTATGATACAACCATATAAGTTTATTGTATCATGGTTATAACTGTTGAATTCGTATTATGCATAGATTTAGATATACGTCAACGTCATCCACTGCCGCGGATATTGAGTCACTATCTGTCAGATCGCGTCCTCTCCCCATAAATTTGATGCCGCTCGATATTTGAGGGTGTTTTGTTTGATCATGTTTTAGTCAAAGAGAATAAACAAATTTCTCTTTGGTTTTAGTATTTGATCCATAGTGATTTGATCACTAGTAGTGTTTCTGAGAAAAAATAACTTTTATGTAATTTATTCAAGAAACAGATTTTTCTCGGGTTATTTTTTTTAAATTACCGTTATCAAACACTTCCATTGAATTTAAAATAAAAATAACACGAAGTTTTATAAAAGAAATTTTTTTAGAAATATGATTTGGAATAAAATGTATTAATGCAAATATCAAAATAATCATTAAATGAGTGTTCAATTTTTCCAATAATTCAACAAAACGTTCATTATGAAAATGTTGTGTTAGTGTTATTACTATTACTCATTTTTTCAGGAATATCAGTTTATCTATATCTTCAAGTTCTTGTATTGATTATTATAATCATTCATTGTAACTTTATATTTATACCTATATTTAGGCACTTAAAAACCATTGGAGATAAGACTTCAAATTTACAATTTAAATTTTTGTTACCTTTGTGATTTGTACAATGTTAAGAGCTCGTCAGTAGTGGATTGTAGGTGAAAATCAGAATAATTAAAATTTTGCACAAATTCTCATGTACTTGAATGGAAGGAGATCAGGCAAATGGATTCAGTACTTATAATTTTTAAGAAATTAGAGCACTTTCAACAATCCCCATGGGTAAGCGGACTGGGGGGAAGCAAACTTTTCCGGGACACATACGGTACAACTGCTGACAAGTGGCTAATATTGACCTGATTTTTTGATTTTTACATGTAAACTGTGCATTCTATGACAAAACAACTTGTGAAGCATATAAGCCCACATCAGTAAGAGAAAACTGTCTAACATTAAATAACTATCTTTTCTGGCAGTGGAAACCAGTCTGATCCTACCTAAATTGAAAACCGCTGATTAGTTTTCTTACAAATTTTACACTGAGTTACCTTTTATAAGACTTGTTTATGTTAATAGCTCAGTAGCAGAGCAGATCGAGGTGTCAATACTTAAATCGATGAATGCTACTGTTATGGTTTGGGTCCCCATAAGACCGTAGATGAGCTATTTTCATATAGTTGAATTAGGTACTCTCTCTGCGGGTATGATAGGGTGGAAGAATATTGGCTTGGGTCAATATGAGAGATTGATACCGGATGGTATTTGACCACCCCCCTAATGAGGTTTTCCCTTCGAGTGTTTTTCAGGTTTTCCTCATTTCTGCACTGAATGGTGGTATAAGTTGTTCCTGGGTTAGGGTTACCAGATGAAAGCTTGGTCACCCAAGACAAGCCTTTAAGAAAATCCGGACAAAATCAGGCCGTCATAATTTTTTCTAGCTAAGTAACAATTTTCACATTATCTACTGATTGATGATGGTTACCATTATATCATTTCCAATTTACTAATAAAACAAGAGCAAAAAAATACATATTTTATTCAAACTTACAAAGTAAAACAAGTTACAACACACAAAAAGAACTGAATCACTTTACAGGTACTTTTTGCTGCTTTGTGTTTTATTTAAGACTTAAATTTGCTGGCAAAAGCACAAAATCGTAAAACTCTGAACAGCTCATATTTTTTAAATTATAAGTAGTCATAAGTATTCCTTTCACAGAAGATTTTGTATATAAATGCCATCGACTCGGTATTAGAAAACATCTGCTTTGCCCTATATGCTGATGATCTCTCGTTAATAATATCGCAAAAAAATGACAAAAGTCTAAATAATAAATGTACTGAAGTTTTGCAGTCACTCAACAATTGGTTCAACATGAATGACCTATATTTAATTAGTGAAAAAACTAGGAAAATTCGTTTCCATAATAGGCAAAAGATTTGTGAACCCTTATCTGTAAAGATTAATGATGTATACCTCAAATGTATCACGGAACCAGTAAAATTTCTACGTATTACACTCGACGAACATATGGATTGGAAGCCGCATTGTAAAAATTTAGTTAGTTTATTAAACTTCACAAATTTTCTTATTAAAAACATTAAAGACGTCCTAACTAAACATCAGTTAATGAACGTATATTATGCTCAAATAGAATCTCGAATACGATATGGAATTTGTTTATGGAGTGACTCCACCTTATCGCAGGCTGTTTTTGTTTCACAAAAATGTGTGATTAGAATAATTGCCGGTGTTCCAAGTACACGATCTTGCAGAACCCTTTTTGTTGATTTTGGTCTCATGACTGTTGCCTCATTATATATTTTAGAAATGTGTATTTATGTTTATAAAAATAAAACAAAGTTTAAAACAAATAGTGATATTCATCACTTAAATACGAGGCAAAAGGATTGATTCCATCTGCCCTACACAAAATATGCTGCTATATCGAAATCACCTGATCATATTGGCTTAAGGATTTTTAATAACTTGCCTGGTAACATTAAGCGTTGTAATAACTTGAATATCTTTAAATATACACTAAACAATTTTTTAATAAAGAAATGTTTTTATCCTCTCCGAATTTTATCAATTGTGCAATTTACTTTGTTATGTTAGCATTTTATATGTGTGTGTGTATATGAATATAAGTGTGTATATTGTATATTATATATTGTATACTGTGTGTGTATATCTATATTTATATTTTTGTGTGGGCCACTGTTGTCCATCACATTGACCATTGCGATACATTCATGTAATGTCATATAAGCAAAATAAACTAAATAAATAAATAAATAAAAATAAAAGCAGCCTTTTTCTTTCCCTGAAATCCCACTGTCTAGGCCTATCGCTGCCGTCCATGTCAGATTAAGCAAGCAATTGCAAGAAGTGCAAAATTGTTGCTTGGCACTCAAATGGTTAAAAAACTACATTTTTTGAAACTAGTATACTATTTTGTATTTTGCATTATTTGATGATTATAAAGAACTAAAAACCCGAACATGTCCGGCTTAATCCAGACATCTGGCAACCCTATCCTGGGTGCACATGTGCCTAATGAATAATAGTAGGTCACTCCCACTCCCGCATAAGTCCCCGACAACCAGGCTAATCCCTGGGATTAGAATGAGGGTTAGAGAGATTATTATTATTATATTTAAAACGGACTGTACCATGTTGAGTGTTAATATCTGAAATAGTTTTTTTTTTGAATAACTGATCAGAAACTATTTTTATGAATAACATGGAGCCCTTTTAGGGATCATTCTAGGAAAAATTGTAATAGGTTTTTTTTTTCTTTTTTCAGTCCGAAAAGTTGATTGCAATGTAACTCTCACAGCCTGTATTTAATTGATTGCAATTTTAATGGACATTAAAAGAATAAATAAAATACAGTATTTTTAACATTTACTGTTAATAATACAATATTAATAATTTATAAAATTCATATAAATACAACAATATAAAATATAGCATTATAGAAGGTATAAAATAAAAATATGTTTTGAGAAATTATATTTAAAATAAAAAAAAGAACTGAACCAAATTACTGAAAAATTACAAAATAAAAATTAAAAATAAGGACAGATATTAATCGGTATCAGTAAAGTTAATACAATTACATCTCATACATATTAGAAAGGATTGGTAAAAGCCACAACTATGAAAAAAGTACTATCAAAATTTTAATTGGTTTTTAAAATTTTAAAATCAAATTAATTAAAAATTCACAGCCAATATATATTTTACTTAACATTTTAAAAACCAAAAATTCCTTATTAAATGAGAAGATACAGCTTGAAACTTTTTAGTTTTCTTTAAAAAATTAAATTTAATTTAATCAAGTGTTCCTTCATATTACAAAACGTTTTAACTAAATTATTTTTCTGCAAAACAAAATATTACACCTTCTACAGTGCATCATATTTAATCATTAAAATTTACATATTATCCAGCAATTCTTGCGTGCTGAAATTTACATTGGGAGTATCTTCTACAGATTTGCCATCAAATTTCTCATGCTGCTTTTTATTTGTAGATCCTTCTGTAGAAGTAGATGGTTTTATGTAACTCCCATTATCAACACTCGCCTCACTTTTAATACGTTTTGGTAAATGCCTCGGAGGGGAATCATCAGAAAATAAATCAAATTTTGAAGTACTAGGAATGGCATACACATCGTTCCTGTTCTGGTTTATTTCATGATTAAAATTTTTATCCGATGAATTCTGGGGCCCTTTTGATTTTTCATCATCTGTATTATAAGCTTCTTCAGAATCAGATTCAGAGGCGATCTCCTTTTTTTCAACTTTAATTTGTTGTCGTTGTTCAGGTCTTTTTGAGCGTTTTTTAACTTCTACTGATGGATTTACAGAGGGCCTGCCTCTCCTCAATGCTTCTAATGACTCAGTTAAATGTTGTATCCTTTTCTTCTTTTCATTTAAAACAAGTACAAAATTGCTTAATAATTCTTCATCATCAGTCTTTTTTCTTTCAATAAATTCATTCAATTTGGTTTGAAATTGGTTTTTACCTAGAAAGTTACAAATCAACTAAGCAAGGCATATACAGGCCGTTACAGGAAAAAAGTTCTTATATATCCGATATGTCATTTTAAAGCTAAAATGAAAATAACATTTAAATGGAATCCCATGACAATGCGACAATAATTTACTTTTATTTAATTTACAGATTAATAAGATCACTTGTATCTGTTGAATTGGGGGTAATAAAACAATGTATTTCTTTCAGCAAGTGTTAACCTGAATATCTTATTATGTGGACATTCTTCGCATTAACGCTTGGATGCCCTTGTGCTACAATATTAAAAACTGCAACATAAGTTTTTGACTAATTAATTTTTGCCTGATTCAGAAGAGAATAATGCTTTTTTAATTTGGGCACTAATATTTTATTTTCAGGAAAAATATCACTCTTGGGTTATTCTCCCGTAATCTTAAAATGTGGCAAGTCATTGGATTCGTAATTTTTTTCTTTAACAGTACTACCTATATAAAAAATAATACAGTATGTATAAGAAATTAAATTAACCTTTTATACCACAAAACCAGTGAAAAATATAAACGTCTGACTTCACTATTGCAATCAGTACGGTTTTATTAGAAAATAAATTTCATAAAATTATCTTCAAGGCAAATGTAATTTATTTATTATATTTCAAGATCTGCAATATTTCATTTTCGATTTTAAGCAAAATATTACATGACTGTTAGAATTTGAGCCACTCTATATATTTAATAAAATTAACGATACTATTTTTATATTATTATAAGAATTACTTGTTATGGGGAGCAGTTCAGACCACCTCCCCTTGTGTATGTTAGGTACTGTTCTAAATACATAAATAATATACACATTTCATTTGGAATCAACATCAAAATTTAAACCTACCAGAATGTGTTTGGGACATTATTTCCATTCCTATTTCTCCGTAGAAAAAAAAAGAAACATTTCCCCTTTGTAAAAATTCATTATTTTTCTGTTTATGTCAGTCCATTTAATATTTTAAATATTATTTGGCAAGAAGGATATTAAGATACAGCTCGTAATACGGTTACATTGAAGTAAAAATTGATTCTCTTTTAAATGTACAGAGAGATGCCCCTCAAATAGCGGTCTCCCTTGCATCACGAACTAGCTACCAGGACACATTCCAATAAATCTAAATTTCAATGAGAATCAGTTTCATCTACATCTTTATTTTTTTCCCTTACTAGTTAAACTTTCCAAGAAACATTTTCCTACGTTGGTGTTACGATGAAATTATTAGCCATAGTAGCTTAATTTTTTTTTTACTCTCATAAAGTAAATTTTTAAAATAAAAACAGAACTTACATTTTTCAAGTTCATTTTTTTCCTTGTGAAGAGTAATTAGTCTTTCCAGAGAGTTATTTCTTTCAGTATAAAATTTTTCTAGAAGTATTTCTATAGAATCACTATAATTTACCTAAAAAGATAAAAAAAATTGTATGTATAAGCAAAAAAACAGTGAACATCGTGTTACAAATGAAATTATACTTTTTTGCCACAAATTCTTATTTTGCCTCAAACTTTATTTGAAACGTTTAAACATGAAGTCAGTCTCAAGTAGTTGTTTTTCTTGCTCATAAGGCATATTTATTCATGGATACTTTACAAGCTATTTTAAGCAAATTGCACATATTTAGCATATAAGGGCAGTCGATTTAACTTACCTTTTCTAGTTTATAAGAAAAATATATAACTTTCATGTTATTCTCCAAAATACAATTGATGATAAAATCATTATCATTAAACTTCAAAGTAACACTTGTAGGAGTATTTCTTAAATATTCCTGTATATTTTTTAAATATTCATCCGATTCAATCTCAAGTCGTTTAGCTTGAATACGAATATTCTCACGTTCTACCTACAAAATAAATGTTGGGTAAAGGAAAGATAAATAAACGCTCTTATTTTTACTCTGGCAGTCCAAGCGTTCGTTTTCTTAAAAATTGTTAAATTAAAATCGTATTCTTTGAACTCAACACTTAGTCTAAATGAATCATTCGTTTCATCATCACGAATTAATTTAAAAACGGATTTATCCATTATTTACATTACACACTTTTTTCAATTATCTGACAACACAAAAACTGCTGAAAATGTAAATGTATACAAAAATATTTATTTCGGAACATCACAGTTTTTAGGTTATAATCGAAACAGCCTTAACCTCCAAATATGCTCCATATTTGACAGGAGTTAGAACCAGACAGGATAACAGTAGCAGCAAAATGTAAATAAAAAAACTTCACATTTCGTTCTCAAAACATTTGTTTTGTAGACAAAAATCAATTAACTTAATATACACGTAACATAACACTGGGCATAATCCATTGGTCAACTGCGATGTCTTCTTTCGTTTATATCGATATTTTTAAATATTTTTCCGAGTAATTGCATCCAATATAATCAAATTTTAGGTTATTAAATCAAGTATAAAGTTAAAATTTTTATCTTGTATTTTCAATCAGTTCATTTCTATTTGTTAACAATAAAACATTTTGTATATTTTTATTAACTTTATTTTAAAAGATACATTTTATCTTAACATTAAGCGACTGGATCATCTCCTTTTGTAGTTCTGGTATAAATAAGTTGCGCTCTGTGTTGTACAACTTGCTTAATGAGTCCTGCAATCAATAAAAAAAAGTTTAATTCTACAACTATTACCACATTGTTTTATATAGACTAAATCTTAATCAGACTCATTAAATCAGATTTTGCTATCATTATGTTTCAAGCTGAAAAGTGATCATCAGTTCAATATTGGATTTCAGAAAAAATATTACATACAAGATACCAATTAATATTGGTCAATTTGAAAACGGAAAATGTCAAATTATCTGCAATTTATAAATTATTTAAATACTACTTTGTTTTCGAATTTTACTGGAAATCTCAAGACATGTTTTAAACAATAATTAGAAAAGTGCAAAATTCTGATACTATATTATACATTTTCAGATTTTATATACCTTTTTGTTGAAGTTCAATTAATGCTCGCCTTGCTAAAGATCCACGGACCTTTAAACGTTCTGATACAACAGATGGAGTAATTAATTTATATGATGGAACTTCCTTGTAAAGTTTTTCATATGTCGCCTTATCAAACAATACCTGATTATTCAATTTGTCACGGACTTTTCCTTTAGACCACTTCTACAATTTAAAAAGCAATTATTTTTCGTTCATGTTGAAGATTAAATGTTTTACCTTCTTTTTAGCCTTTCCACCCCCAGACCCCTCTTTCTTCTTTTGAGTCTTCTGAGGTTGCTTAGCGGACGACTTTGAATCCTTCTTAGGTGGCTACACAGACATAAATATATATTTAAAACAAATATTAATTTAACTATTATTATATTTAAGAACTTTTAACATCAGACTCATTAAATCAGATTTGACGATCATGAAATTGTCTCGCATTACATTTCACATCATTTATTTATGAAAAGATTGATTGTTTATTTGGAACAAATAGTTAACTTGGCAAAATGTTGGTGCTTGTAATTTAAATTGGTTATTAAAATATAATTTATACAAAAATATATATCAAAACATGTGTACCTACCATGTTGAACTATAAAGAGAGGAAAAAAAGAAACGGAAATGCTGTCAACGGAAACAGTTCACTCCGTTACCGTTATACCAACTTGAAAATATATCTCACTTTAACCCATCGAGAATATAATGAAGATTTCGATTTACATGCATTTTGTGTATACAACTTTCTTGTTTGTGTTCAATTTAGATTTTTAATGCGCACATTACCAGTTGAATGTTCAATGGGTTCGCGCCATTATTCTATGGCTAGAAATTGGCCTCAATGATTTGGGATCGAGGGGAATTATCCCTCTTTATCCTGCCTCATCTCGTGTAGGCCTGGACAGCCTTCGTAGGTGGGCCCCATCCGTCGTCTACCCCCGCTTTGTGGGACCTCCTTTTGTCCTGGCTGGGCCCCGCCGGCTAGGGCCCTTTCTTCTGGCGCTCTTCTTGCTTCGCCGGCTCGTCTGTGTAAACCCCGGGGGTAGTGTCATGTTTATGTGTGGTATGGTTGGGTAGGGTAGTGCGGCTATGCAGCCTGGGATGCGCTTTGCTAAGGTGGCCCTTAGGCTAGCGCGGGAGGGGAGGGGTAAGGAGGGTATGGGGGGTGTGTATGTGTGTGTGTGTGTGTCGTTGTCTTCGTTTCTTGATCCTAGCTGTCTCTGAAACAGAAAAGGTTAGCGGGCAGCGGGGGGGGGTCATTGGGGTGTTCACCCAGGGTCAAAAAGTTGGTGTCTAGGTCTTTTGTGTTTGTCGGTCACGTCGGGTACGTAGTCAACGGCTTGCCTAATGGGTTCGATTTAGAATTAGAGAGTTTAGAGTTCTCATTAAACTCGATGAGAAAGCCAATTTTCTTGCACTGAGAAAATATACAGTTCAATGGTGAGGTGCAAGTTTAGAAAAAGGCGTTCGCAGATTTTTTGAAAAAATTTAATGAAATCTTTAAATTGGGCATTATTAAACAGTAATTCAGCTTCTTCTAATGCCCTAACAGCGGCAATATTTATTAATTCATCCATATTTTGCGAAGTAACAGCAACTGCAATAATATTTGAAGTAGGTATAAAGTTATGTTAATCAGTTTACGTATAAAATACGGCACTTACGCATGGCTCTAACCAGTCGGAAAAAAAATAAACATCCATTTTCCGAACACGAAATCGATTCAAGAATACGATATTTTAAATGTCAATCGAAATTCCCTTTTTTCCATATTCGAAATAATTCGAGTGATTGCAGCCCTGAAACGGACTACTGACTGAACTACAGAAAGAGAAATTCACTGAACTGAGTAAACTAACAAATTGCACGTTTTCTATTTCGTTTGTTAAAAATGTTCCTCAGTTTAAGGAATAAGCGAACGCTTATCAAGGTGGTACTTCAACCGCAGCTAACCTACGCCTCCACGGCGTGGGGTCACGCGGCAAAAAGCCACTTAAAGTCATTACAGGCTGTGGAAAACATAGCCCTCCGCACGGCCACCGACGCGCCCTGGTACGTAAGAAACACTGACATATTACGAGACTTACAATACACAAACGCTACACAGACAATAAGACAAAACGCGGAGAAACGGTTTGACGTAGCCGCTAGACATGACAATCCCCTCCTCAGGCAAGCCGTTGACTACGTACCCGACGTGACCGACAAACACAAAAGACCTAGACACAAACTTTTTGATCCTGGGTGACCACCTCAACGACATCCCCCCCTGCCTGCTAACCTTTACTGTTTCAGAGACAGCCAGGATCAAGAAACGAAGACAACGACACACACACACACATACACACTCCCCATACCCTCCTTACCCCCTCCCGCGCTAGCCAAAGGGCCACCTTAGCAAAGCGCATCCCAGGCTGCATAGCCGCACTACCCTACCCAACCATACCACACATAAACATGACACCACCCCCGGGGTTTACACAGACGAGCCGGCGAAGCAAGAAGAGCGCCAGAAGAAAGGGCCCTAGCCGGCGGGGCCCAGCCAGGACAAAAGGAGGTCCCACAAAGCGCCTACACCGGCCGCATTTGCGGTCGGGGTAGACGACATGGGATGGGGCCCACCTACGAAGGCTGTCCAGGCCTGCACGAGATGAGGCAGGATAAAGAGGGATAATCCCCCTCGATCCCAAATCATTGAGGCCAATTTTTAGCCATGGAATAATGGCGTGTTAAAAATGTTAAAATTTAAAACGAAATAGAAAACGTGCAATTTGTTAGTTCACTCCACATAATATACATAATGTTATATTCGAAGTTTGTGATTTTAACCATCAGTGACGACGGATGGGGCCCACCTACGAAGGCTGTCCAGGCCTACACGAGATGAGGCAGGATAAAGAGGGATAATCCCCGTCGATCCCAAATCATTGAGGCCAATTTCTAGTCTAGCCAAGGAAACCATCAGTGCACCTTACAACGAGTTCTAGTATTAGAACACGAACCTGTTAGAAATGGTAGAGTTATTGAAATCTTATAGTTATATCACATACTTCTATAGAAGAAGATAGAAGTATGTGAGTTATATATGTATGCCATGGTCTCTTTTTGTCAAGCATACCAAATCAAAATTGTTGTCAAAAATTAAAAACCTGTCAATGTCAATATGCCACCACGTCAACATGGCAGGTTCTTTGAGTAACAGCCGGTTATGGCTGTAATAGTTTTAAATAGTTACAAAATCGTGCACAGTTTCAAGTTATAGTATTTTATGTCTATCTATGTGATGTATTATTTAAAAATTGAAATTTTGGTATTATAGGTTTAGAAATAACATACGTTTTTTCTTAAATAAACCTTATTTAATTGTCCCTGTGCTACGATGATAATAGTGTAATCATTTTTAGTAATTGTAGATGTGGTAAATATAGGTACAAAAATTATCATTAAAATGTTACCTTTATCACATAAGGATTCCTACAATCGTGGGTTTGGCTCAAGAATTAAAGAAAAAATTAATAGCTGGATAAGACTAATATTTGCTGATAGAAATTCAAGAAATTTATTTCTATTTTTACTACTTAATTTGTCTTTTGCATTTGTAGAACTAATTTATGGAGTATGGAGTAATAGTTTAGGTAATATAACAAATTTCTTTATTTCGTAACTGTGCTGCTAGTGCAATAATTCTTTTAGGTTTAATTTCTGATTCATTCCACATGTTTTTTGACTGCACTGGTCTTTTGGCTGGTTTGGTCGCATCTGTTATTACAAAATGGAAAGCAAACGATAAATACTCTTATGGTTATGTTAGAGCAGAAATATTAGCAGGATTTGTAAATGGATTATTTTTGTTATTTATTTCGTTTTTCTTGATGTCGGAAGCAGTTGAACGTGCAATAGAACCACCAGAGGTATGATATAACAATCTTAAATAAAACTGAAACATACACTATGGCTGTATGGATAAAAATTTTGAGTATTATCTTTCATCTGATACCTATGTATCTGCAGACTAGGGTTATTCCCAAAAAGTGTGAAAATCAGTGGCGAACTGCATGAACTGTTTTATAACTATTAAATCGTATTTATTTTTTTATATATTTATGATTAATGAAACCTAAAGTGTAGTCCTGATTTGTAGTCTTGTTTTGGACGTTGAAGTGTAAACATCTTTAATACAAAGTGTCACCTAAAATCTCAATTTACTATACAAATATAATTCAATTCACCTGTTATACAACTACAAATATACAATATATGGACTGAAAATTAGTACCTAGCTCACATCTCTCTTTTGCAATGTTAACACGCAATAGTCGAAAAGCAGGGAAGAACTGATCAATCCTAGGTCACAGTTTATCCTAGACTGTAAAATAAAGAGATATTATAAACAAGCAAACTTAAATTTCTCTCAATTTTTGTGGCCTGATACGGATAATGTGATACGAAATACGGAAATATAGGATCGGAAAGTCCCCATGGTTCATCGGCCGTTACGTGAGAGCGAAATAAGATCCATTTCTTATTTGTGGAAGGGCGAAATGGGCGGTGACTATTAGACGCCTTCATTATAGCCATCTTTCTCTATCGCACGGATTTCTATGACTTACTTTATCGCTCTCACGTAACGGCTGATGAACCATGGGGACTTTCCGACCCTGTATAATGTGAGATACAAAAGCAAACATAAAAGTGTCCAGCAGTCTTATATGTGATAAGTTGCACACACACTGGTCTTAATTGCTAGCAGTTTTGATTCCACAATTGCATATCCAGTAAAAGCCATAGTGAGGTCACTTGCCAATGCATTTTACAGTCTCCAATAACGAAGTGATTTAGGTACAAGTTCTTGGTAACTTGACTCTTACTGTATGAAAATTTCATGCATTAGTAAAATGTAGAAATAATCATGAATTTAAAAATACATTTTACACATTATACATCTATGAAAATTAGAGAAAATTGTTTGTTGACTAAAATATAACAAAATCGTTAAATTTAAATTAAAATAACCTTTTTTTCTATAACAGTGAATATGTTTTTTTTTTGTTTCATTGCTAGATTATTTTGAACACATAATTTTATTAAAATTTGTTGTGGTGACTGTTATTTTGGAGTATTAAAAATATGAGGCCTAATCTTTACTTATTTTCTTATTTATTGTTCTTGTATCAGCTTTTAGACAGTATGTTTTTAGTTGCTTGTGTTTTTACAAAAGATATAAATGAAATAATTTTATTTTTTTAGGTAAAACATGAACGATTGTTCATTGTATCTGTGTTGGGACTACTAGTAAACCTTGTGGGTATCTATGCTTTCCAACATGGACATGGACATTCCCATGGTGGAGGTTCTCATGGTCACTCTCACGGAGGGCACAATCATTCTCATACTTCAAATAGCCATAATCATTCCCATGATCACAACATAGATATTGACAGTGGCAGTCATAACTCACAAATAATGAAGGGTGTATTTCTACACATCTTAGCCGACACTTTGGGCAGCGTTGGAGTTATAATTTCTACCATACTGATGCAAACGTTTGGGTGGATGATAGCAGATCCTATATGTTCTATGTTCATTGCTATTCTCATAGCAGTAAGTGTGTTAGCGTTGATTAAGGATTCTATTATGATTTTAATGCAAAGGCAACCTATTGCTTTGGATAACATTTTACCGCAGTGCTATCAAAAAGTGATTAGTTTAGCAGGAGTTTATTCTGTACAGGAACCACACTTCTGGACGTTGTGTAGTGACTTTTATGTAGGTGCTATTAAATTAGAAGTTTCAAAAACAGTGGACCCTAAATATGTTGTGTCCCACACACAAATGATTTTTGCTTCTGTTGGTGTTAGGCAGCTTTATGTGCAGTTAGACTATACACCAATGTGATTAACTTATAATGCTTTTTTATTGCCTACATAGCTAAATTATACAATTATGTCGTTACAATAGGATTGTAAATATGAAGAATTTTTATAATTTATGTTCGAAAAAGATGACGCCGTTTTGTGAATCTGAATATTGTTTTGATAACCTTTTTTATTTTTTAATTTTATATCAGTCTTCTTAAGGTAAAATTGAATTGATACTTCCAATACCTATTGAGAATGAATGAACGTGTTATAAATATTTTTTATAAGAATGTTAATTTAAACAATTATACAAATATTTAATATAGTTATTGTGATGGATGACCGAAGTAATTGAACAATTAAAATTAATGAGAGAAATCATTCTTTTAATCGGACCCTACACTTAACCTAGTTCCATAATTTTTATAATGAGCATTATTTGGTACATGCAGGTGAGAATTTATTTGTCAGTATTGTAAATCCTAATAACGTGAATTTTGTAAGTAGGTAATATTAGCAAATGTTATATATATTATAACAGTTTGAATTATAATAAATTGTAAATTTAAAAATTCGTTTTTTTTATTGTGTACATTGGTGATGTAATTACTGATTAGGAATTATGAGATTTTTAATTATAAAAAACATTTTTCATTATAGAAATTACACGTTCTTTATATCAGGCGACAAATCAGATACTTCCACTTTGGGCTATCACTTATCTAATATGTACTTTATATCGTCATTTTTAATTGATATTCAATTTTAAAGGGAATCACACGGCGACAGTACATACGAAACAAAATACAGCACACAATATAAGCGTTTGATGAGTGACTGTCGGTTTTTCACCACATTAAAGAAAATGGTTGCAATTATGCCACTCATATATTGTTATCACCAGCTTAGCTTATCTTGTAAATGTTTTCCGAGTATATTTTTTATTTATTAGCGGTACAATTTTCTTTAAAAAGGTCCAGATCAGAAGGATCCTGAAAAATCTATCTTGAGACTCGCAACCATTTTGTCTTGCTTTTCATTCATATTTCTATTTTCTACTATTCCGAATTTTTGCTACTAACGCGAAATTAATATACTGGTATATATTTTTTAATTTAATGTATTGGAAATGCACATTAGAGATCACATTTTGTTAGTTAAACAGTGACGTGAGAAAGCAAGCGCTTAGTACTCTAGTAATTTTATGACGTTATGTTACATCAGACTATTGCAGTTGCAGAGAATGGGAGCTGAGAGCTTGCTAAATTTTTTGAAGGAGATTAAATTCGGTTCAATTTTTTTTTAATTGTGTTATTTACTGCAATTTTAACATTAATTAACAATAATGTTAATTAAATTAATTTAATTAACATTAATTTAACATTAATTAACAATAAATGGTAACATTTATATACAGGGTGTAAGAAGTTTGAGTGCCATTATTTCAGCATGAGATAGATTGATCATAAATGAACAAAAAATTTGTATATTTCAGGGGTGTAAGATTAACAGTTTTCAAAATACAGCGTGTTCTATAATATGGGGGAGTTTCATCACAACGTGAAAACAGCGCTTAACCTGCTGATGCACACCACATATAAGCGGCAGACGTCCTACGAAAAAAATTTAAACGGCTATTATTGTGAAACAATTAGTAAATTTCAAGACAATTGTTTTCCAGCTTATAAATAAAATAAAATGTATCGATTTTGTAGTACGAAGATAGTGTTGTGCTTAAATGTTAGCTCGAATTTTTGTAATTCTGAATCTTTTAAAACAGGAATTTAACTTTTAATCAAATTACGTATTTGAAAAATATGTAATTAAAGTACCCAAAAATTCACGTCGTCCAAATAATCATACATATTAAAAATAATTTAGGTACTTACTAAAAAGCAAAATTCAGTAATTTTTAAATGCACAAGTACAAAACAAACTACAACGTATGCTCAAAATGTTCACGATCTTTTTTTATGCATGCACGACACCTTCGAATCCAATTTTTGCACACTCGTTGGAAAACACCTCAAGAAAAGAAAATAGTGGTATACAAAAAACATTCCGATACGGTCGAATCCAGATACCAAATGAATTGCGTATTGATGGTTGCTGGACACCTTAGTACCTCGTGTTAATAAACCGCAGTGCTGTTGTCACAAATTTATTATTAATTATTTTTTAGAATTAAGCACAAAGAAGTTAAAAAAAGTGGTAAACATTGTATTTTATGGTATTCTATGCACGCAGTTATGTCAATATTCCTTAATTAATTGAACTTAAGTCAAGTTGGAGATTTTCATAATTTTTTTTCTCGGAAATGGTTGAGTTTAGAACCCATGTCATACAAGGTTTTTTTGTTTATTTTAATGTATTCTATAGTTAAAATTAAGGCAGTCAAACTTCTAACACCCTGTATACTCCCCTGTACTAGTATATACTGACCAGGATTCGACACTGGTTACTGAACTGCAAGATTTCATGGTCGATGTTCGATCCCATTACTTAATGGGTCCGCAGAGGTCCTGTAGCGAAGTCCGCCTTGGTTTGTACAATTGGTCTCTTTGGACTGTAGTCGCCTGAAACGGGCAATGGAATGATGTGGTGTCGTGATTTTGTGTTGCTGTTGGTTCCTCAGTTCGAATTTCACATATTTCGGAATTTTTATTTTCTGAAATTCGAAACTGGGGAGATTTTTTTTATTTCTGCAACGTATCATTGTCGGCTGCAGTAGAGAACTTCAACAGAAATTTTAGAAATATACTTGAAAATATTATTTGCCGCACCGCACCCCTTGGACATAGGTTTCTATTTTGGAATTGACTCTGTGTAGAGCGATTGGAGACGATTTGTGATTTCAATTGGAAAGTTGCACAAAAATTTGTAATTCCCAACTGTAAAACTGTTTGCCAGCTATTGTAATCGTGAAATGCAAGGCGTTTTGAGACATACAGGGCAATAAGATCCATCTAATTGTTGACATTGCCCATATTTAGGAAAAAATGTCCACGACCAGAGAGCAGAGTGGTTGATGCCGTCAAATCTAAGGATACCATTTCCTATGTGTACACGCTTCAAATTAAGTAAAAAGATTTTATTACCTTTCATAAGGCTAAAAAGTTTTTTGTGTATCAATCCCATTTCTTTCACATCATACCCTCTCATAAAGTTACATGTTTCATTGCTTCTGTACTTAGCACTCGAATACTGTGAATGAAATGTATTTTGTGTAATAACATTTATATGAATATTGTGGTATTGTTACATAAAAATCAATAAAATCTCTATTCTTAAACATAAAAATACACCAATTTAATGGAATATAATTTTAAAATTAAATTAATGACTAAAAGTGACTAACTAAATTGATTCAAATGATTTTGAAATAATATCTCTACCCCTCATTTTAATTGCAAGGATTACCCCAAAAGTCGGAGACTTGTGCGGGAGGGGGGCCGGCATATTATTATTAAGTAGGTTGCATGTGGGCCTAGGAACGACTTACATTGGCAAGCCCTAACCACCATTCAGTTAAAGAATGAGGGAAAGCTGGAAAACCTCATCATTATAAAACCTCATTAATTAAGCAAACGACTGGTCATTTAACCAATACTTTTTTAAAGCTAATTAGCCTTAAAAAAATAATGGTTAATTCTGTACATAAAGAACTTTGAATTTAATACAAATTAATAAGTATTTTTAAATAGCTAATAATAGACAACGCAACTTTAAACACTTGTAGCGTAGTGTTCATAAAAATAATTAATAGTTGTCCCCATGTCTCGGATCCAATTACCAGTGTGAAAAAAAAAAACAATATTTCATATCCAATACAAATTTTTATTTGATAAAAGTGCAAATGTTACATAAATAAGAAGAACAAGTATATAAAATTCGTAAAGGATTCTCCTCGATGGGATCCTATATCGTATTAAAAAAAAATACTTTTATAGCTTTGATACACCTGAGACCATTAGATTTTTATAGTCTATAAATTCCACAAAGCAAATGACGCAGTAAAAACTGTTTATTCAGATTTACTAGAAATATACAAACTAGCATAATTTATAATTAACCATTAATAAAGTACTTTATGGTACTTACAACATATTTTCATTCCGTACAAGAATATACTGTCACTAAATTATACAAGCCTTAATTTTATTACTTTAAATCTCATGTCTACATGAACGAAAGCATGTGCTTATTTATAGCATTTTATATGATACTAGTTTATTTTTTATTGCAACGTCCGTTAACAGAAAAAGAGAAATTTTAGTCGATTTGAGTCAAACGATTTACATATTTTTGTTACTTATGTAGTCCACAAATACGTTAGACTACCTTGGGATACTTCACAAAATTATTGCACAAATATAAATAAGGAATGCTGATAGTAGTAAAAATTAATTCATAAAAATATTTTTAAATTAAGTAGTACTTTAAGCTTAGTTCTTAAAGAGTAAATATCATTCAATGCATTAGCCTTTCTGGTGTCGTCTCTTACACTTGATCTCCTTTTCCCTGTAACAATAAATGAAATTAGTTGGTAATTGTTTCATGTTAAACAAGCAGTTATTAAAAATATGTACATATACACTCAGTGAGTACATGGAAACTAACGCGATCGATGGGTCCTATAAAGAAGTGCATAAAATTAAAGGGAACATTTCTTATGTGAAAATAAACAAAAAAGATTAAATCATCCCTTACCCAGAAAGGATCTGTTTCTTAAATATAAGTTTTAAGGGGTAAAGCCACTCTAAAATTATGGAAACATCCATTTTTTGATAAATGATTTAAATAATGGTTTATTATGTGAAGAATAAACGTTGTATCTTAGGTGTTAGGCCTACTTTTAGAAAACAGATAAAACAATTACAGTATATTAAAATTAACACTAAGAAGAAAAAAAAGAAACAAAAACGTTATACACATTGCACCTAAGTGAATTAACACTTGTATTGTGCAAGCACAAAATCCATTAAGTATATGCTGTATATACAATATGAGTAAAATTCAAATTATTATTATCATCTTTCGTATTAGCTAGGATATTATTCAATCAATGACAAAAAAGACAAATAGTTGTTACTTATGTATGTTTTGCAGAGGTGCGAGTATTTTTTAAAGCTTTTGGTTCTTCTTATTTCTAAGGGTAACAAGTTGTATGTCTTGGGAGCTAAATGTGTCGCAAATCTCAAACCTATGGTTTTATTATTAAAAGGTGTTAGTAAAGCTTCGTTTGACATACTCCGAGTTACCCTAACATTCATTATCAACTGTTTTTCATTTTTAAATACATTTGTACACAATGAATGGAAATACAAAGATCTAATATTACATATTCCATCCTTGAAAAGTAAACTGGTCGGGTATAATTTATTTTTTTTTAAAATGATTTTTAATATATAATTTTGTACAACAGATAGCTGTTTTAAAGTCGTATTATATAAACCACCCCATACCAGAATACCATAGCGATAAATGGATTCCACTAGAGATTTATAAACTATAAGTAATATTTTTTTGCTTAAGATATCTCTTAATTTGTAGAATCTAAAAATCAGTTTTCGAGTGTTCGCTGTTAATTTATTTATATGCTGCTCCCATTTAATGTTTTTGTCAATTACGATACCTAAATATTTTATGGAATATACTTCATTTATTACCATGCTGAAACGTTCAATATTAATCCTATCATAGTTGGGCCTATTTTTGCTGGTAATTGAAAATGCTATGTATTTGGTTTTACCAGCATTTAGAGATAACTGATGTCCATCTAACCATATTTTAATAGCAGTTATGCCACGTTCCATTTGTTCTTTAACTGTATCCCAGGTATCACCAGAGAAAATGACTACAGTATCGTCTGCATATGACAGTATTTTACCACTAGTATTTAAGAATAACAAAGAATTTAAATATATTATAAAGAGTATGGGCCCTAAAACAGTGCCCTGTGGCACACCTATTTTAACTTCCTGGGGATCACTAAGACAATTATTAACTCTAACATATTGCATTCGATCAGTTAAATAACTAGTAAAAAGCTTTAGCACATTTCCTCGAATTCCATAACTATGCAGCACATTAAGAAGCTTGTCATGAGGCACTGTATCAAATGCCTTAGCCAAGTCTAAAAACACTGCAGCACACTTTCTACTTGAATCCAGATTGTCTGTGATTTCCTTTACTACTTCATACATTGCATCCTCTGTACTTTTACCTTCCAAAAAACCAAACTGATGTGGACTCAATATATTGTTATTTTTAAGAAAACTTACAAGCCTAGTTTTAAGACATTTCTCAAAAATTTTTCCAAAATTATTTATCAAGCTAATAGGCCTGTAATTGGATATTCTCGTATTATCACCATTTTTAAATACAGGAGTAATGATAGAGCTTTTAAATTGAGAAGGCACAATACCAGTGGCAAAAATTAAATTTATTATATGTGTAATAGGCTGAACTATCTGCTTGTGAGATGACTTTATAAGTTCGGCAGTAATTGCATCCATACCTGGAGCCGAATTTTTTTTCAAAGAATTTATTTGTAATATTATTTCATTTTCTGTAACAGGCGTTAAAAACAATGAATTATTAATTGGCGGTATTTGAGAAGAAAAGTCATCAGGTATCTTTATATTGTTGGCCATTTTAATACCAATGTTAGCAAAATATTCATTACAGTAGTTCGACATATCTTTATTATTATCATATGGTTGACCATCTTCATTGGCAATATTAAAAGAACATGCATTATTTTTAGATTTTTCATTGGTAGCTTCAGATATTACTTGATAAATTTTTTTCATATTGTTTTGATTAAGTAAAATAATATCTTTATAATACTCATGCTTACATTTTTTTAACAGCTTATTTAAATTATTTCTATATGTTTTGTACTCTATCTCCAAATCCTGAGAATAACTATTTGTCAGTCTTTTTTTCATTTTATCTCTAATTATTATTGACTTGGTTAGACCAATTGTAATCCAAGGTTTGATTTTCTTAGGTACTTTATTATTAGTGGGTTTGGTATAAGTACTCTGAGATACAATTTTTAAATATGTTTCAGTAAATATATTAGTAGCAAGTTGAGAATTATTTAATTGCAAAACATGATTCCAACTTTCATTTTTAATCAAATTAATGAATTTATTAATATTAATTTTAGAAAATTTTTTAGTATTAATTTGCTTGATTGTGTCATAACTTATAGAATCTTTACTAAAATGTATCATGACAGCATAATGATCAGTAACGGAGCATTTAAGTATATAGGAGTCAATTTTAAAACTATTGACACCCTGATTACGTTTTACAAAAATATGATCAAGGCATGAAGTAGATTCTTTTGTAGTTCTAGTTGGAGATTGAATGTAGGGCACAAATCCATGTTTAGCTAACATTGACACATAATTGTTCACATACTCATTTTCTTCTAATATATTGATATTAACGTCGCCCACTATGAGTTGAAAACAGGCATCAGCTTTATTTAAGTCTAAATAGTCATCAATATCATTGATAAAAGCACCTATATTAGTTGGATTGGGTCTATATAATGCAATTATCCTAAAAAGGACATTACCAATATTGATTTCCATAATGCTTAGTGTTACCCCACTTATTTCCAACTTTTTATTATGGATTGAAGTTTCAAGACCCTTTTTTGCAATAATTATAACTCCATCATTTTTATTAAAATCCGCATGATTGTAAAAGGTATTATAACCAGGAATATTAAACTGATCTATAGAATCCACTTGAAAGCATTCACTTAAGATAATAACATCATAATTATAATCTAATTCATAGGTTACAAAAGTAGCAAGTAATTCATCAAAATTCTTTCTTATACTACGAATATTAAGATGAAAGACCCTAAGAACAGCATTTGTTTCAAACAGTACCTTACTGTCATTAATACCAACATATCTTCCCATGCGATTTCCTCCGACGCATTCGAGTTCTTGCAAAATTAAATCTTCATTGAGTAGTACCATTATACCAATGAATAGTCCGTTTTACTTTGTAACAGCAACTTTTGGAATTCTAAACTGGCACATGACAGGTCTGAGGCAGCATGTTCAACATTATAATTTGTATTAAATTTTTCATTAGAAATAACACAGTTTTTACAACACAATTTCACTTTAGGGCAAATATTTGCCTAATGCTCTTCACTACACCTTGGGCATGTTAATTTGTTACGACAATCTTGCTTTTTATGATAAAAGGAAATAAAGGAAACAAGTTTTAGGTGATGGAAAAATCGGGAACACGAGTCGCAGCGCGGTACAGGAGTGTTTATTCTCTCATGAGAACGTGTGCCATAGTTAGCTATTAGGCCAAATTGAGTGTCAGATTAAGCCGAAAAGAAGAGGATGAAGAAAATATCAATATAGAAGGCCAATTATATAGTGCAGGCATCGCCGACTGAATACATATAAGAAATTTCTTATGCTGAATGGCAACAAAAACTTTAAAAGCGTTTTTTGAGAAACTATTTTTTTTTTTAACTGGGCGGAAACATAATTCAAAAAGTCTTCAACGAATCGACTTGAAATTTTGTACAGCTTCACAATAATATAACTCAGAGAACGTCAGAGGGTTTTTTTCAATTGATTAACAATTTTCATTGTTATTAATAATTTAATACAAAATTTTTTATCTTTTTTCGAACTTTGTTTTGAATGTTCACTAAATCAACAATTAATTTTTAATGTTCCTACAATGTTCCCTAATTTTTAATATATATCCGAAAATTAATAAGTTAAACTGGCCGCTTCACATTAGAAAACGATGTCGGTCCTATTACTTCTTAAAAACATTTATTATTTTTAGTTTACATCCGATACGATAACGATACTGATGTGCTGTTATATTTACTAACTGGTTTCCATTCTATTATGTAGGTATACCTAAATATGCACCTATGTAGCAAAATAATGAAGTATGTGTACGTATAATATTTAATTTTTACGACGTTTAGTTCAAGTGAGGTTTCCGCGGGTAGCAAAATATTATTTACTTACTACTTAAAATAATATTTTGAATCTAAATTTGTTATTTTAAATAATCATAATTAGTTTTTAGTTTGTTAAATATTCTTAAGAATATTTGTAACATGACGAACATGGTTATGCTAAAGCCCAATCAAACAATTTACCGAATTCCATGATGATTGGTGAGTTTTTTTGAAAAGCATTTTATTTTCTTCGGCAGAAATAAGGGGAATAAAAGCAAACAGGTATGAAAAAGTAATTTATAGATATCTACATAAATTTATTTTAAAATGCATTTTTTTTTGGCGTTTTTACTGATGTATTTTCACACATCGGTACAATGCACCAGTATCTAATAGTATTAGACTGTTTTGGTTTGAGTGAATCGTATATCCACGGAGATTTTTGGCTTTCAAATTTTTCTATGCTCTCCTAATCGACATATTCGAATTTTTCAAAAAGCGTTTGAAAGCTTGAGAGCCCTTGTATAAGTGATTAAATTTCCAAGTA